GATTTTTTTTTCATTTATTACTTTACTTTTTCATAGATTTTTTTGAGATAGTACAGGAGACCCATTTGGTGGAGGAGAGAAATGTAAGAAGATAGGTAAAACAGCATGTTTGATAGTGACTAAGCAGAGAAAATATTTTTTAAAGAGCTGAGAGGATGCTCTATAAATAATGCTGTCCATACCTGACAACTACTATCTCGTCGCTTAACCTTGTACCAAAAGATAAGCTAGCTTTGTAATTTGTGATTGTTAAATATCTCAAATGCCTCATGAATTTTACAGGAAAAATTGTTAATTTTCCTGTTAATAAACCTGCCAATCTGTCTCATCAAATGCATCACCTCAGTGACATATTAGTCCTGCAGAAGGTACTGCCTCTTTGTATCATGCGATTGCTTTTTTTAGCAGAGTTCTCTGTATGTCACACCACTAATGTTCTCACCGCCAGCTTTATGTGCATGTAAACTTGAAAGCCACTGGGTTTTTTCTCCTTTTCTCCTGCATGAGCATTGCTGTTAAAGCATTTTTTCTTTATGTAAATGTTGAAACATTGAAAATGTGATGAACGTAAAACTGTTCAGTAATATTCTCTTTTACAGTATAAAAAGAAATTCTGTTATAGTGTTTCTGTTAGTGGATATGAACATGTTTCATGAAGGATGTCAGTCCATTCTCGTACCCATTTTCAGAAGGAAAATTTGATGAACATAGCAAAGTGATTTTGTTTTTCTCCAAGCTTGTATACCAACTAAGTGCTGATAGAGTCCAAGTTTTAGTTCATGTCCATTAAGCTGCGTTATTAAGAATTTATTGGGAAATGACCAAGGAAAGAACTGAAGTCATAACACACTTATTTACATAGTGTGACTTATAAATGGTATTTAAAAGATGGGTTTCATGTAGTCTCCTGTAATATTTATCTTAAGAGAAGCCTGAAGTAAATAAATTGAACATTTTGTTCTTCACAGAAGTTGAACTGTAAGTGTGACTTGGAAAAGAAAGGTTTCCGTGAGATGACTTAACTTCTTGGTTAAATTGTGTTTGTACAAGGCTGTTGGTAGGTTTTCTATTTGAGATTGAATTGAAAAATTGAGATAGCCACAGAGTGTTGCAGATACTATGTTAGTATGGTGAGTAGAAGCTAAATTCTGGACAATGCCGTTAGAGGAAACTTGAGTGGGAAGTTACACCTTTTTTAGTTTAGAAACGTTTTGTTATGATGAAGACCTTCTGTCACACTTTGCAGTGTGCAATGTGATTGTGATTCCAGATGTTAATCAATGAGTAATTTAAGTAGTGAATTCTAGATCTTGCAAAGACAGTCCCTGTTTCACAGTTGGCCCTTTTAGTATAAACAAGCTTCAGAACAGAACTAAACAAATGAAAGTGAGTAGCCAGGGTCCATTTTGGTGATATATTACTTTTCCAGACCTCATGCTTTTATGTTTCAAAATAAAGACTCTTTGCTGCTTATGGTATTTTGAGGGATTTTTTTTCTTGATTCTGAACTGTCACGCTATAACAGCAGGTCTAGAAGTTGTCCAGGAAGAGCAAGGATATTTGTGTGCATGAAAGACGCGGTAAAATTTTGAACCAGAAATTGCTGCTACTCTTTCTGAGCATTTGAAGGAAGGTATAACTAAGTGAACAGTAACACTAAAAGTGAGGATATGTTTGTGTTTGGCTGAGGGTACACAGCCAAAAGAAAGAAAAATACCAATAAGGGTGAGACAAGAGAGCAGAGCTTGCGACAAAACAAACAGAGAGCCACCAAATAAGTAACTGTCTGCATTTTAGGGTCTGTGAGGCTTCAAGCAGAGTTTCAGATCCGCTCTTTACCCTCAGTTTCTCACAAACCACTACGTATCTTTACTGGTTGTAGTTGGAATTACTATACATTTTACACTTGTAATGTGACTATGAAGATCTGAATCTGGGCACCCCGGGGTTAGAACAAGGAGCCTATTGTTCAAATAAGAAAAGTGTTGAATAAAATTTGGATTTTAGTTGTCTGCAAAGTGAAAGCTTACTAATTGTATTTTAACAGAAAGAGCCAGAAATGAGTCAGATGACAGCTAATTGTGGCAATACCAAAGAAGCATTTAGGGGTTAATGAGTTACAGCTATTAGCATGAATGCAATGTACCTGAAAGATGCCTGACTTGGGCAGTGTAAAAGGACTACTCTTGTTTTTTTTAAAAAAAAAAAAAAGAGAGAGAGAAAAAGAAAAAAGATAATGATGTAAAGATGTAAAAGTGTGATAAAGGATACAGTGGCTGTGCTGATTAGATATGTAAAGCTGTACTGGAAGTCATCCGTCCTCCTTTTGGAAACTGTGTAGCCCTGTGCATGATATCTTTCTTAATAGCCACTGCAAGGAGGGCTTTTAAGGAAACAAAACCAAAGAGTCCAGTTACTGATGTTCTTGTGCTGTTTCCCAACATCCTTAAAGTCTCTACATTTTAAATAAGACTGAAGCATAAAGGATTTCAAAGGCTGGGATTTCCAAACAGCCCTCTGCAGAAGATTTTTTTTTGTTTCTTTGTATTCTGCTCACCATTGATCTTCAACCTTAAACCCCAAGAATCCACTTATTCGGGATGATATTTAAAGGCAGCTTAAATTTAGTTGATTATGTTGAATAATATGCAGTCTGAGTTTCTAAAACAGTTACTTGGCCCACATTGAATTTTTAGATTGTTAATATTCATTATTAATATAGAATACATTTTTATATCAGCTGTAGTAATTTGGTGAAAGATGGGAGGTAACTGTTTTCTAGTAGTTTGACTGAAGTAAGGACATTTGAAGACTATTATTTTCTATATGTGTGTGTTTTCTTCTGAGAACTAATTGCTGCAATATGTTAAGGGATACCTTTTTCCTAAACAGGAAATACCAGCCATTTGAATAATAGCACTTTGAAAAAAAAATCTTGAAAGATTTTTTTTTTTTCCTAAAGTTTTTTCTTTTTTCTGCCACTCAGAATAAAGTCCAGGATAGGAGTTAATTACCATAGGAAGCACTCGGTATCCACACTGCTTTAACTTCATATAGGTGGCACTGCAACTCATCATAATTTTATCACAATATAATTCTTTTTTATATTAGAATTGATGTACAAAAAGTTTTAATAATATATTACCATATGTGCTTTATGGTTAAGTACTAGAGGCTTAAAATCTAATAGCACGCTTTCTATATGAAATTACTTGTGGCCTGGCTAGCAGCCAGAGTCCTTGTTTTAAATAATAGAAGATATAGGCCCTTTTTAATACTAAATTGAATACTTGCTTTTCAGAAGGAAGGGATTAGATGATATACTTTGTGTCAATGAATTGCACCTTTTTTTTTCAAATTCTTCTGGAGAGATGATGAGGCTCCCTGGAAGTCTAACAAGCGACATTTTCAGAAATGGATGTCAGACAAGAAAAGAATTACTGGTGACTAGTGCTTATTTATGGTACCTTTGCTGGTATTTTTCTTGGAATACGCTCCACATGCTTCTTGCTTAGACTTCCCTTTTATATTTCTTCAGAAATTAAGCCCTAAAGATAAGACACACAGAATCTTCAGTAAATGTTCAACTCTGCAGGCTGGAGTTTTGAGTTGTTTCATCAGCCAGTAAAGGAAAGCAAACTCCACGGACAGATACTGCTTCAGATCTTTAAGGCAATTCCTTGTTAATAATGACATATGAAATTCTATTTATGTCCTGTGCTGCTTTTCCCTTGTTTCTGTCAGTTAAGGGAAACATGATGCACACTTTCATACAAACTTCCTCTTCCCGCTGATCTGCGTACTACGGATTTCTTCTGCTTTTCTGGTCTGCTGATTTATCTTGTCACATTTAAGAATGTGTGTTTTATGTGGGAAATCCCTTCTTGTTAAAATTCTTAGAAAACCTGTGATATTGAGAGTGAAAGTTTCATTTATTTCTTAACTGCTAGGGGTGAGGATGAGCTTGTGAGGTGCAGTTCAACCCGTACAGGATTCAATATTTTCTTTTGAGGTACCTGCCATTGGTGACCATTACAGATATCCTGATGGCCTTAGAAGACTTCTCATCTGATCCAATATGGAATATTTCACTTTCATTATTTATTAATCAGGCCTATTCAGTCTGAGATTTTGTAATTATAAAACAACTAGAGATATGCTGAAGCTTAAATGACAAGAAGGAGTGTAGCTTAAAATATTCATGGTCCTGAATTAAAAAAAAAAAAAAATCATGACTAAATACACTGTCAGTAATTGGCTATCCAAAGTACAGTTGCCATTAGATATTCTCTAGTCATGGAAGCTTTTTCTCTTCCAATACTTTGAAAAGGGTAGTATTTGCCAATGAGATTCTAATCTCACTTGTAGATGTTTCATTTTAAGAGAAATATCCTTTACATATTATGCTTTGGGAATATTCTTTATGTGAGGACTTTTTTGCCACAAGGCATTTTAACTCAGCCTTCTTGATTAGCTAAGGTTTACATTCAGGGCAGTTTAATTGTGTATTTGTGATGAGGTATGTTGTGATCATCTTGTATATTTTAGTTCTGTTTTTTGTACTGTTATTAGTCTTAAAATAGTCCTCTAATTGCACTCCACAGAAAGACAGCAATTACTAACATCAAAGTGCATGTAGCAACCTGAAGATTATAGTGTACTATACCATCACAAACCTTTTTTTGGATCGTACATTGCCAGAAAAGAGGTGTCGAGTTTAATAGAAAGTATTCATAGTAGCAATCCAAAAATGTGTCAGGTGTAGTTACCGATGTTCAGGGTGTTTTTTATATAGTCTTTCAGACCAGCATAAAAGCTTTCATAACAAGGAGAATTAACCTGACATTTCAAAAAACTTCTCCAAAATGGTACATGTAAATTAAATCTAGAGGAGGGGTAAAACCTTTTATGAAAATGGTTATGATTAAATGTTTTATGCAACGTGTATGGCCTTCATTCTTTCTCTGATGGTAATTTTTTTTTTATTACTTCTTCTACAGGTTCAGTCCATGCCACATCAATAGCAGCTTCCAGAGTGGAGCAAGCACTGTCTGAGGTTGCTTCATCTCTGCAAAGCAGTGCCCCTAAACAAGGTCCCCTGCATCCTTGGATGACTCTGGCTCAAATATGGCTTCATGCAGGTACTGTGAAAGTAAAATTCTTTCTGTTGTTTCTCCTCCCCTTTCTTGCTAGCCTAAGGACTTGGAAAAACCTGTTTGTTTCATTCAGAATCTATTATTGCTCATCAGATCAAACTTTTTCCAGGTGTGTGTGTGGCACTGAAACAAGTCAAGAAATAAAAAGCACATTAGAGTTGCTTGTGTGTAAGATTGTTTATGTAAGATGAGGGAGTAGTTTTATAATGCAGCTGTTAGCAGTTAGATATGGAGTCATATCTTCTGCAGAACAAGGCAACACTTTCTCCCTTATCCACGAAGAATTTAGTTTCTGAAGTACCTTGAATATCACAGTATTTGGAAATTTAGGTGTCCTAATTCCATTGGTTGGAAAAAGATGTTTGTAAGATTATTGAATAGAGTTTCTGCAGCTAGGAAAGCTTTATCACTGAAAATAAGTAACTCTGCATATGTGGACAAAAAGGATAGTAGTACTATTGAGCAACCTGTCCCTTGCAGCTGTGATAATGACCTCTCATTCCACTCTCTTCCTTCTAGCTTCATTAATGTAAGTGTCCCACAATTTTTTTTCTAAATGTGGAGTCATCTTGCGTGGATTTAGTATTGTTATGCTACTTCAAGCCTCAAGCTAAATCCAATATCACAAGTGGCTGTTGTATAAATTTTTAATCAGAAAATGATGATTCAGTGTATTTTTACACAGTTAAAAATTTATACCGTGCAGTTGTTTTTATTGATACTTGCATCAGAAAGGTGTAATTTAGAAATCAGTCAGCAATTGTTCTGCTTTGGTCTGCTCGCAGACTTGAGCGTTTTTCAGTGACATAATTTTTTCCTTCATGTTTACATTCAACAAAACAGTGCTGTATGTCTTAGTGCCTTCATTTACCTGTTTTGCATTAACAGTTTTATTGTGTGAAAGTCATTACAGGGCAGTAATTCCCAGTTATTAATTAATGTTTTAGAGAAAAAACCCAGAATGCTGGAAAGAAAGAGCAATGATAGTCATTAATTTAGGGGTGGAAGGGGTCCTCAAAAGCAATGCAGATGAGAACAAGGCAAGGTTCACCAGGGCACAGTGTAGTTACCTGCCCTACATTATGGCATCATTGATTTTAAATATTTATAAACCATCACACAGACATCTACAGTAACTCTTAGCATCTATAATGCCGATAATTTCTCAGTCTTCTGTGACAGCTTGTTCCACTGCTTATTCTCTGTTTTTTAATTTTTGTTGGGCATGTCCTGTTGCTGCTTATCCAGTGCGTGCAAGTGACTGCTACTGTTTTGCAAAGGAGAGGTCTGAACACTCTTTGCTGATTCCTCTGTAGTTCACAACTTAGTGATGTTTGCATCCACATTGGTGGTCTGCTGCTGCAGTCTTTTGCAGAGTCCAGTTTCCACTCTTAAAAAAAGCTGTTTCAG